AAACGTTTAATTTTTTAGAAAAGGTGCGAAATGTCAGGGATATTATGTTACCAGGAAAAATGATCAGCAGAGTATTCGCACCCCTTTCAATTCACTACCTAGTGGTGAACCTATGAAGTCAGATTTTGCTCTTGTCAGCTGTACGGATGGAGCGCTTAAATGGTAGGGGTCAAGGATTCAAGCGGGCAGTTTCAAGCACCAGCTGAGCCTATTTCAGGAATGGCATACTAATGAGTGTTGTTCGGCGGAGCGATCAAGTATTACTTAATAGAGGCTCGACTAGAAGTTCGGACGGATCGGGCTTGAATGTGTACTTCTTGGGATTCGATTCCCTCAGTCAGATGTCATTCAGAAGAAAATTGCCCAAATCTGTTCAGGTTATAGAAGAAACCCTTGGCGCAGTTGTCTTGAATGGTTAGTTTAGTACTTTTCCGTATCTGCAGCGGATTCGTTGAGGAATTTCTTAGCGTCTTTATGCACTCATTGCAACAACTTTTAGGTTATAATATTGTTGGTGATGGTACACCCCAAGCATTTATACCTATTTTGACAGCGTCCACCGAAGAGGAACTTCCTTTGACGAGGTGATTTTCGTATGAATCTTTAGTTTCATACTTACTTTGCAATTTCAGAAGTGTCATATGTTATTTATCCTTTCTATATAGTTATATATAAAGTCGACAAAGCCTCGGATCAGCTTCTGTGATTACTTGGTTTTCTTTATTTCTTTGTCTCACTTCCTAATTTGGAAGGATCCTGCCAGCTCAGAATACGACAGATGTTCCCTTTTTTTCATTCTTCTCTCTTCACATTTTTGTTCCTGGTTCAGTCGGATTAACATTCACACAAAATAGGCCACTTACTCCAGAAAAAAAATCGATTTATTTGATTTTTCGTACTCTTCGCAGTATAGTGGTTGGTGCACTGGGACAAATTGATATGATAATTAGGAATAGGGTAAACTCTTGGAGAACTGAATCTCACAGTCTATTGATTCCTTGACTTTTCCCCTATGGTGCATGAAATTGGTGCGCAGATTTCGTAAAGGATAGCTTATGCTTTCATTAATTTATTAATTTTACTTCACCTAGGCTTTTCAAGTAAAGTTAAGGTTAATGTACTAAACAGGATCATGGTCATTTTGGCATT